TATTAACTTTCTGTATCCTACCTACTTCTCAAATTATTTGGTAACTTCCTATAGATAATAAAGGACATGGTAAAGTTTTGTATGAGCGACTGCCCTGGCAATGTATAAATACTGTACTTAGTAATATTTAATAGTAAATGGCTGTATATTTATAATTTCAATGAAAAAAGGCTCAGGGACTTTTGATAAACTCCTACTATGTCATTACCTTACTACAGTTTATAAAAGATGTTTCCAATTATTTACTGAGTCATCAATTTCGTATTTTCTTAGTATATTTCTTCCCATTTCTCTGATTTACTATTCACAAAAAGTTTTTTAAAGCAAAAATAAATACAAATAATTTGTTATCGTCGGCCTGACAGGATACCTGTGGAGTTTTATTTTGTCCATTTGCAAAAATTAAAGAACAAATTATCATACAGCCTTGTCTCAAGCCTGATCAGAATAATAAAATCATATATTTTAGGCCTTCCGTGATTTGTTATAATAATAATTAAGGCCAAATATGTCTAATTTTGATGGAGTTTAGAAATCATATTGTTTATTTCGATATACTTTCACAAATATTTTTTGTGAACATTTATTGTTCATTTATTTTGTAAAACGGAACCTTTTGCTTTTGAAACAGACATGAAGTCAATTTTTATACTTTTAATAATTTGATTATTTCACGAAAGTTGTATGAGAATAATAAAGACGTAATAATTAATAAAAAAATATTGTAAAGTTACAGGCTAATGCGAAATATTTATACACGTTAAGGGTAGTTTCTTAGTCATGTCCTTTTGGACAACTTTTTATAATATTGATAATACAACAAATGCTTCTGTTCGAGACGTTCGAGACTAAAATAAATTTCCAATACCAAGCAAGAAGAAAATTTCGAAGCAAGTTGTTGAAAAAATATCTGCTACTTATCGTAATATAACTACTTTATTGAGAGGTGAAAGATATCGTTAGTAAATTGATAGTATCAATGCACCGTAGTTTATGCTGCCACGTCGTTGCGCGGCGTCCGGCCTTAGCTTTGCGGTTGAGTCTAGAGTATATACCATATGCTCTAAGGGTTAAGTTGATATTGAGCTCGCCGCGATCACCGCTAAAGGGGGCCACGAGAAATGTAATTTCGTACATAATGTATTTTTTATAGAATGCGGAAATTACTTCGCCACGCCACTACTGGGGGCCTACTCTTATTCAACTATAAATACTAAATTATAAAATATAATAAATGTTTCAATCGAAACTTGGCATGCTTCTTGCTATGTTTCTTATTCATTTCAGTTTGGATCATTCGTTCAGAATGGATCAGAGTTGCAAAAGATAGAGGAAAATGGAAATCTTTAGAGGAGGCCTATGTCGAAAGACAAGCTGTGTCAGAAAATAATGACCCGAACGCTGATAATTTAGAATAAAAACAAATATATATACAGTTAATTTATTCATTCAGGGATAGTAAAAATAAGTAACATGGCAAATATTAAACTAAAACTACACTAAAACTATACAAATATTAAAAATTAAGCTGCCCTAGATCGTCCCCGTCGGCAAAGGTTCCCAGGACGCTGGCGGCATTTCCCCGCTGAATGGCGAGGCTTATGCGCTGGGCGAAATAGCCGCCAGCTCTGCGGTCTCCAGTGGTCTCCACCAATCTTTTTGCGATTTCTTTGAAAAGATGGTGGGCACCGGAGCCCCAGGGTCCCTGAGTCTCGACTCCAAACGCCGCAAATGTGAGGTCTCCACTGAGGCAATCATACTTGCGGCGCTAAAACTGTATATTAATAATTAATATACAGTTAATTAGATTAAGAAAATGTTTCAAAGTTTAACAGCAATGAAGGCTTATTTTATTTTATTTTATTTTATTATATTTTTTATTTATAATGATATTTGTTCGTCCGAAAATATATTGAGGTGTAGATTATCTTAGCCCACTCAACGAAAAATTTAATTTGATTTGTTTATCGTGTAAATTATAACCTTTGAATTTTATTGACGAAATACAATTTCGTTTGAACTTTGTTCGCTAAAGTTTGTTGCGAAGAAACAGAGCAAACCCCATGGGTGTTAATTATAAGTGTGCTTCTACATCCTCACCTTTTATATCTGAATCCAGACCACTTCCATGTGGAGTCATTTAAATCGTGCCCACCAACAAAGACACAACCCAACTGAAATGTTATTATTCTGCTTTTCTTATAATATACTAGCTGACCCAGCGAACTTCGTACCGCCCTAAAAAATAGGGGTTGTCCAGCGGACAAAATTGTGAATCTAAACCATTCTCAGATCCCCTTGAACACACACAAAAAATCTCATCAAAATCGGTCCAGTCGTTTAAGAGAAGTTCTGTGACATACACACTCACAGAAGAATTATATATATAAAGATTGTGAGCAGAGCGAATTTTTAACGACGTACTCGTCTACTGCTCACTGGTACTACAAAAAACAAAAACTGTTTTTTTATACGAGGGGCATACGAGCAGACGGTCACCTGATGGTAAGTGATCACCGTCGCCCATGGACACTGCAACACCAGGAGTATTTGCGATGCGATGCCGGCCTTTAAGGACGGAGTACGCTCTTTTTTGAAGGTTTTTGGGTCGTATTGGTCCGGAAACACTGCGGGCGACAATATATTCCACAGTTTTGTCGTACGTGGTAAAAAATTTCGACAAAAACGAACGGTTGTGGATAGCCACGCATCAAGATGATGGGGATAAAATTTTTGTCGCGATGAACGATGGCGAAATGCAGCAGCTGGAATTAATCCGGACAATTCCTCAGAACACTCTCCGTGATAAATGCGATAGAAGATGCAGAGCGAAGCTACATCCCTACGCAAAGCCAAAGGATCAAGCTGATCGGAAAGGTCCTGGTCGTCGACGATTCGACTTCTACTCCTAGTTGCCACCACCTTGATAGCCACCACTAGTAGCTATGAGAAATATATTTCCTGATTGCCGCCAATGGTAAGTGTCTGTTTTCTTCATTGCTACCAGTCACCATCATCATCTCAGCCGTACAACGCCCATTTCTGAGTATAGGCCTCCCCCATGGATCTCCACATCGATCTGTCCTATGCCATGCTCATCCATCGGCTTCCTGCGATCTTCACCAGATCATCGGTCCACCTGGTGGGGGATCTTCCCACCGATCGTGGACCGGTACGCGGTCTCCATTCGAGATCCTTTCCGCCCCAACGGCCATCGGTTCTCTTCGCTATGTGTCCCGCTAACTGCCAATTCACCTGAGCAATCCTTTGAGCGATGTCGGTTACTTTAAAGGAAGGACAATTAATTGTCCTGCTGATTTCCTGATTTCTGATTCTATCATGCAGGGAAATACCAAGCATAGCTCTCTCCATTGTCCGCTGTGCGACCTAGAGCCTTCGTCTTATTGCTACCAAAGCTATTGGTTTATTTAACGTAAAGTTAATCACCTTATTTTATTAGGTTTCACCAATAATTGGAATGATAAAGACTATAGTGAAAGTCAATTCTCCAGCCGGCGATGCAATAAGTTTCAATCTTGGTATTTTAGTCAATCGTTGCTTGAAGAAATCGTTGGTTTCATGGCCCCACCCACAGCCTCAGGTATCAGGTCTCCGCGGCGCTCGTGTCGCTTTATCTGGAGCTGCAACATCCGTGTAATGATGGTAATGGCAACTTACACTGAATCTACCTTGTGGCCATTCTCCATACTATCCTATGGTTAGCCTTTGACTAAGCGGATGATAAAAACTTCATATTCAATGTGATACTACAAATATTATGATCATCATCATCGTCAGCCTATTAATGTCCCCACTGCTGGGGCACAGGCCTTCCCTATGGATGGAATAGGGAGATTGGGCCATGACCCACCACGCGGGCCCAGTGCGGATTGGTGGGTGCTAACGCAGACAACTGCAGATGCAACCGAGACCAACGGCTTAACGTGCCATCCGAAGCACGGAGGAGCTCGAGATAGTAAATTTTTGGTCACCCATCCAATGACCGACCACTGCGAAAGTTGCTTAATTTCAACGATCGCAGCCGAACATCGCGGAAACACAAACAGGAAATTGGGGATATCTTTGGAGCGAGGGGCATATCGACTATAAGAAATTTAGAAGATTTATTAAACCCTACTTGAATGAACGTAAAATCATAGTGAAAGGTGAAGAAAAAGTTAAGTGGGTGAAAGAATTATGTGGACGTGAAAATGTATTAGATAAAAGTACTAAAGGTATAAGTAATTTAGAAACTCTTACTAAACTCTATTGTAAGCATATCATCATCAACAACAACAGCCTATCTTAGTCCACTGCTGGACATAGGCCTCTCCAAATGCACGCCACTCAGATCGATCTTAAGGATATAGGATCATAAGTATATGTTTAAATATAATTGTTTTAATCACCTCAAATATTGTGCATTAAGAAATACTAGCAAACCAGTGACCCAAATGTTCACCAAAACAAAAAAAAAATCTATTTAATTAATTGAGAACTTCGGAGATTTTGTGTGGTTTCGTTTAAAATTCGTGATTTCTCGAAAACCGGAAATGCTACGTTACTCAAATCCGGTTTGTAGTCTTATCAGACTATTCTTAACTTATAACTTAAATATTCTCTTTATCTATCTCTTACGGTTTGGCCGCTGAAACAGAATGATACTTCTATGTTTACATTTTTTAATTAATTATTGTATATTTGAAACCTCTTTCATTTATTTTAAAGAATTCCCTATTACAGTGAGAATGAGAATCAACGATACAAAATATTTGCGTAGATTACTTTATTACCAAGTTTGAAATAAACATTATTACAATAAAATATCGCTACTAATTAATAAACACAGTACCACAAACTTATTACAAACACAAAGTTTAAAGGTATAATATTCCTAAAATTCAATTACAAAATAAATGGCGAAGAGTTTATGTAATCATCGTAAGTAATTTTTCTAATTATATTTTCACTCATTTCCGATATTTCATCCATAGACTCTTTTACAACATATTGCGCATTGAGTACTGCATTTTCACCGCTGGCACGTCACATTCACTACTGCGACACTGGGCGTCTGCTGGTGAATATGGCCCAGGATTATCTTTTAAGTTGAAGATTTGTATCTTTATTAATAAGGTTCCTTTACGATGACCATTCCTGATTACGTATGATGTATATGGAACTCCTCTGTTCTTCCTTAGTGCTGCATCTTTCTTTTCTTTTCTTTTCTTTTCTTTTCTTTTCTTTTCTTTTCTTTTCTTTTCTTTTCTTTTCTTTTCTTTTCTTTTCTTTTCTTTTCTTTTCTTTTCTTTTCTTTTCTTTTCTTTTCTTTTCTTTTCTTTTCTTTTCTTTTCTTTTCTTTTCTTTTCTTTTCTTTTCTTTTCTTTTCTTTTCTTTTCTTTTCTTTTCTTTTCTTTTCTTTTCTTTTCTTTTCTTTTCTTTTCTTTTCTTTTCTTTTCTTTTCTTTTCTTTTCTTTTCTTTTCTTTTCTTTTCTTTTCTTTTCTTTTCTTTTCTTTTCTTTTCTTTTCTTTTCTTTTCTTTTTTTTTCTTTTCTTTTCTTTTCTTTTCTTTTCCGTTCTTTTTTTTTATGCCTCGAGTCGTTTTCTAGCCAACATTGCTTGCCTATTTGTGGAGGCCTTCAGTAGGATCGGATGCATCTGAAGGTGATGAGGTATACACTGCACACAATTCCTGAGAATCTGCCATGATCTGTAAAGATATATATTTTTTTATAAATAATTAACATAATAAAATATAACATAATGAAAGAGCTTTACTCACACTTAATAGCGGACAGCGTATGAATGTTGAAATGCTGTAATGGAGTCAGGTTCTCAGCAATGTTCGATATATATTTCAGCTTTAATTATTCAAAGTCTTAAAATCTGTTTGAAGGACTCCTTTACCTTTCCCGACGAAGGGAAGTATTTTGATTTTGTTGCTGTAAATTACTTCCGTATGTGATATAATCGAAAAATTAAATGGGCTTGCTAACTTAGAAATTGTGTCCAACGTCGGGCATCAGGCGGAGTGAAACGAAGCAATGACATAGCATGTTTTGCAAGCGTTGGGACTCAATTTGTGAGCTAGAATGCCCAATTAATTTACTACTAATGTACCCCACCACGCTGCTCCAGTGTCGATTGGTGTGTGCTTACGACTGCAGATGCACTCAGGTTTAATTATGAAAACAGTATTAATGATCACCAAATTTTTGTCTTATTCAGCATCATCATCATCAGCCAATCAATGTCCTCATTGCTAAGCCACAGGCCTTCCCTATGGATGGCATAGGGGGATTGGGCCTATAATGTGGGTAGTAAATGAATTGGCATTCTAGCTTACAAATTGTGTCCAACGTCGGGCATCAAGCGGAGTGAAACGACGCAATGTCATAGCGTGTTTTGCAAGCGTTCAGACTCAATTTGTGAACTAGAATGCCCAATTAATTTAAAACTAATGTGCCCCACCACGCTGCTCCAGTGTCGATTGGTGTGTGCTTACGACTTCAGATGCACTCAGGTTTAACGTGGTGGTAAGATAATAAGTTTTTGGTCACCCATTCAATGACCGACCATTGCGAAAGTTGCTGGGAATGTGGTTAGAGTAGATAATCCCAAGGGATATTGTAAAACATTTCAAGCTTTGCCGCGTTGTTTCAATATAATGACGTTACTATATTTTTTATTCATAAGCATTAAATTGCTTGAAACTTATATAAAAGAAAGCTTCTTATAATAAATTTATAAAAAAAAAGAGTTTACGATTTTATTTATTTTTTAAGCATTTAACTGCTAGATGTTTAAATCTAAAGAAAAGTTTACTAGAAAAAAATCCACGCGGACCAGGCAGCGGACGGGACTGGAACCCGCATCCTTCGCTATCCGTGCGAATGCACTGACCATTATGCTACCACAGCCCTATTAGCCGCGTCGAAATTTTCCTAGCCTTAAGCTGCAAAGCAGCGCCATCTCTTCGCATTGTAGGTAACCCACAAAAAGAGTTTAGAGAAAATAATTAAACAGAGTAATTACAATTAAGTATTAAATACAGCTGTCGTTGCCACGACTGTGCTCCAATACGAAATAAATAATTTTCAATATTTGAACGTAACATAAGATATTTCCCAACTTGTCACAACACTGGCAGGTTATTATTTAGTTAAGCAGCTACTTACGGAACAGAATTTATGTAAAAGGAATTATGTGAAACTTATTAGGGCGAGACGTCGCTAACTTGTTTGTCGAAGGAATAAAATGTTCGCGGTGGAAACATCCGAGCTGTCAATGAACGTGACTACATTCATAGCAAGATGAGTGGTACCGACTCCACGAGAATAATTAATCTGGAATAAACACCCTCTTAATTGGCAAACCTAAACAGTACAACGCTAAACAACGCTCTCTTAATGGCGTCAAGGCGAAACTAAACGTCGTAGCGACGTTCATGAATATTTACCCGATGAAATCTGAGTGTAAGCATCCTATAAAGTATTCAATGGAGCCACAACATTCGGGGCGATCGACACGAATCCGAGCAACACTGCTCAGAATGAAACCTATAAAATTTATATCTAACCTCAATATCAGTAGAGGGAATACGTAATGAACATTAGGAACAAAGGCGTGCGAAAAGAGTCGATACCGAATTGGGTAGGTGAGAATTGATAACATAAACGCTATACGGGAAAAACAACCGTGCGTATATTTAATCATGATCTAATTTCCTCTGTTAGTTTCGCGGGGTGAGCTGAACGATTGTCGTTACAGGCGAAATTGGGTTTAGCGGTGGTGGTCCGAAGGTCGCGTTTGTTGTAGCGGTGGTGTTGAAAGGAAAAGCGAGAATCGAAGATAAGTGTGGTTCCGCAGGTCTCGGTCTGAAATATTAGTGTTGCGAAGGCTCCTTTGGCTTGTGTCTGCGCGGCTTTCCGCCAGAACGTTTGAACTCGCGAGGGTGTTATTATCTCGTCCTACGATGCCTTTCAATTTCTTTTCGCAATAGAAAGAGCTGCGGGGAAAGAATTTCAAAAGTCAAACGACTGCTTGGATGTGTAAGAAGTCAAATCTTCATACGGAATAATAATATAACTTTAGCATTTGCGATGGTGAATTTGTATCGTGTCATTGAATGTCGACTAAATTTGGATAATATGTTCAACTTGTGTAGTGTGAATCGAATATTATTAAGAAAGTAGAGGAGGAAATATTTTTTGTTACAATTCGTTTTGTTTCTATAAATAGCTATCGATGTAAACGTATTCCCATCGCCAACAAATTATAATATACTTATACAGCAATGTACATTTTCTAACCAATTTCAAAGCTGGAAATCCAATTATTTTAAAAAAGCTGAAATTGTTTTACATTTCATTACTAATCACTGTTGGTAAATTAATTCAGCTTAGACAAAGTTTATTCAATTATGGTTCGAATAACGTTCTGTTTGTAGCTACTTAAAGGTACAAATTCCCGCTCTTGAAAAACAGATCGTCTTTAAGGTTAACTTAAGTAAAGCATAAAATTAATAGTTTATAATTTACTACTTACCTAGGCTAGAATAAGTGCTAATGAATGTAAGTTTTAATTTACTGTTAAGATTTAATAAACCCGTCTTACTGTCTGTGTTGCCTTACATCATCGGCTATGTTTCTCCAATGTCAAGAAACTTATCAATGTAGTCATTGATCAGTTTCTTGTCATTATCATTATTTTTCTTTACCATTACGGTAGGCGCGGCACCTTTGTTCATCCAACTTATCAATCCAATCTCCTTACCTCGAAGGTAGGGGGTACCATCACCGCCGACGGTGGGATGGAAGGCGGCGGTAGTATGACCGCCTCTTTCCACCCTAGTGAGCAGGGCTTGTTAACCGGTAAATTTTTAAACCTAAATCAGTATCAAGTATCACATTAGGAGCGTTTTATTTAGGTTAGACTCTACCTTAACCTTAAAAAACCGGTTTTCCTAAAAATTGAAATCGAAAAAAGGTTTTGAATCAATTTAGCGCTTTTTAAAGGGTTTCATTTCTCTCTTACTGATGGCAAATTTTTAATTATTTTATTCGAGTTTCGTTCCAACCAAAGTGCGAATGAGTGAAGTAGTGTGTCAGTACACAACTACAAAATGAATAACTTGACTCACTAGACGCTAGCAAATGTGTCAATAAATGCATCAATCTCTGAGCATTAACAAGTTGTGACTTGATTAGTTGAAACAAAACAAACTTCAGGCGATGCCGATGAGTGCACGTGTCGCTCTGGATTAAACCGGTTTATTAAGGTTTTAGGTACCGCTTTCATTTTGGACGCGCTCCGAACGAAACCTTAACTAAAAACCGGTATTAACCTTTACTAACCGGTATTTTCGAAACCGGTACAAGCTCTGCTAGTGAGGCTAGCGGGCGGCGGACAGGGTGGTCCGTTGTTCGCATTGCACAGTCTCACCCGTCGAGGGGGGGTGCCTGGGTGCTCCCGGGCATCCCCCTGACTGCCAGGAGGAGGAGGAACCCCTGCCGGGGGTAACGTGGAGAATCATCCGGATCCCACGAAACCTGTTTTGGCAGGCGAGGGAGCACTGTTGGTTTTTTAGTGGGTAGGCCCCCCCCTCATCCCGAACAGCCGCTGAGCCACTTTGGCTGAGCGGGTGGGCGGGTTTTGGGGGGAGGAGTCCCACATAACCCCGTCTCACCCAGGGGCGGGGTATGCGTCACGCATTGTCCCAACAATAAAAAAATTAAGTGGGATACCATCAAGGTAAGGAGATTGGATACCTCGTGGAGTTCTGCCATAGCGTACTTACCGCTTGAAGTGAAACGCGCGTCTGGGGAAGTAACCTGTACTCCACAGAAGATCACAGTAAAATAACTCTACCTTTTGGTGGTTTTGTGTTTCGGTACGTGAGTAAGGTTTCAAGGCTCCATGGGTAAGAGGATTGGGTCAGGGTAAGCAACAAGCAACGGTGCGAGTGATACTTATGGTATTACTAGCTGACTCGGCGAACTTCGTACCGACCAAAAGTAATAATTTGCAATAAATTAAAATTGCGACTGTAATTTGAGATTTAAACTATCCTATCTCTCAAGTTGGATCGAACTGCACATGGTGTGCGAATTTTATTATAATAGGTTCAGTGGTTTAGGAGTCCATTGAGGACAAATATTGTGACACGAGATTTATATAAAATATATTAAGATAAGCGTCCATCGGTTATGGTGGCCTCTTACCATGAAGCGGTTCATACGGTCGTTAGCTACCCATTTAATATAAAAAAGAGTGTGCTGATGACCACACGACTGAAGTGAAAAAATATATATATACTCTCGAGACTCGAGAGGTCCCGGGTTCGAATCCCGGTGGGGGCAGATGTTTGTGTGATGAATACGAGCATTTGTACTCCAGTCATGGATGTATAATATGTATTTCTATATAAATATACTTATATATTTACAATATTATGTATTCTATCCGTTACCCTAGCATCCCATAACACAAGCCTTACAGTGCTTACTTTGGGGCTAGGCTAATTGGTGTGGGTGTTGGAAATATTTATTTATTTATACAAGGGTTTCGCCAGCTTATGACTAAAGGGGAGGCAATGGGGCAATATAATAGGTAAGGAAGTCGATTGCTCGCACTTTGGTCGCTTTGCGGCTAGCTACGTTTGATTTTTAGATAGGAGGGGGTAACTGCCCCTCCCCCTGCCCCCCTTGGCGAAGCCATAGTATATAAATATATTAGATACACACTTGCATGTACATATACATATTTCATTTACTAGCTATAAGAGAAAAGGAGAAATAAAATGTGCGCGCGCACTGCTTTCTCTTGCTTATATCCTTACACTCAACTCCCGTTGGCCTCGTCTGAAGATACTTTTCGTAACGCGTAACCCATTCGCCAGCTTAGCCAAGTCAAGCGTAAGCATAAAAGTTTCACTTCAAAAGTATCAAGAAAAGTGTGGTTGGTTTCGTTTCATCAGACGGTCGCTCCAGGTCGAGTTTTAAATCCGTTCTGCATCTCCTATGGATGCACTTACTATATTACAATTTCTGATTATATAGACTTTTTTGGTCCCGGCTGCATCTGCAGTCGTTAGCACCCGTCAATCCGCACTGGGCCAGCGTGGTGGGTCATGGCCCAATCTCCCTACTCCATAGGGAAGGCCTGTGCCGCAGCAGTGGGGACATTAATAGGCTGATGATGATGATATAGAGTTTTCGATCTTTAGTTTATAGTGATAATAATTGATTGTATTATGATTGTAATTTTTTATGATAGGTATAAAGCTAGAAGAGGAAATGATTGTTATGACGAAGTAAATTGTGCTCTCTCTGAAGTCCTTCACTGGTTTACGGTAAATAATTTAAAACTTAACTCCAGTAAAACAAAATGCGTTAAGTTTACTCTACCTAATGTGAGGCAGGTTAATACTAGTATAAAAATAAATGACCAGCCTGTAGAGTTAGTGGATTTTACAAAGTTTCTGGGTATTACTTTAGACTCTCGTCTGCAATGGGATCCTGATATTGATGCCTTGTCAAGTAGATTGAGCTCTGCAGCTTTCACTGTTAAAAAGATAAGACTCTTAACTGATGTGGAAACGGCAAGATTAGTTTACTTTGGTTACTTTCACAGTGTTATGTCATATGGCCTTTTGTTGTGGGGCTCAGCCGCTAATATCGAAAGTATTTTCATACTGCAAAAGAGAGCTGTTCGCGCCATATACAATTTAAAGGCAAGAGAATCCCTTAGAGAAAAATTTAAAGAAATTAATATTTTAACACTGGCGTCGCAATACATTTATGAAAATTTAATATATGTAAGAAAAAACTATGATGAATTTGCAAAAAAAAGTCAAACCCATAACTTTAACACGAGATTTAAGAACAAGCTTGCCGTTCCATGTTTCAGACTCCAAAAATCAAGAGGTTCATTTCTGGGTTGTAGTATTGCATTGTTTAACAAAGTTCCCCAAGATCTGATTGAGCTTCCACTGACTAAATTTAAATCTCAGATCAAAAATACTCTTATGAATAAGGGCTATTATAAAGTTGATGATTATCTAAATGATCGTAATGCATGGACATAGTGTTTCTTATAATTTGATATTAAATGGGTATTACTCATTTTTCATAACAGTAATATTGTACCTATCTAATGCCGCTTCCTATATACTACTTAAAATGTTAACTATAAAATTAATTGTAACTATTTATATTCTAGATGATGTAATGGAAAGTGACTTCAGACGTATTTCTGAAGTAATTTTTCAAATTGACGACACTGTATATAACAATACAGGGAGAAAAAAACAGCCCTTGCTGAGTTTCTTGCCGGTTCTTCTCAGTACAAGGTCTCCCGCCGTAGTTTTGCGAACCGATGGCGTAGCTTCTTGACCTTCACAAGTGCTTGTAACAGCCTAGACTGAATAAATGACATTTCATTTCATTTCATTTCATTAATTTCTGATGTTGATTTGTTTTTTCGCAAAAACACTTCTGTACTATGGATGTTATGTGTGAAATAAATTAATTATGATTATTTTTGGAAAGCAGTCGTTCTGCGGCAGTCTGCCTGATACAGCCAGCCGTTCGTCTCGCTTTTTAGGTGTTAAAGTCGTTCATATATTTTTTTCCATTGACAATTGACATCTCTGTGTAGGTACATCCTCAAACTTATTGAAGTTTGGTATAACTATGTAGAATGACAACTCTTTCACTTAGGTTAATTTCGAAATTATCCTATTGTTACGTGTCGGGATGGGGTTCGAAATTATATGCCAGTTCACGCTTGACAGTTCTTTATTCACCACACAGTTCACACAATTAAAACACAATGTTAATTACAAAACACTCACTAAATACTGTATTTCACTATACAAGTCTCTAAACTGTCGCACTTGAACACTTTCGTTGCACTTTGATCGCCTTTGGATTCGCTCCGAAATCGCTGTTGAAACTCAACTGTCTCTGCGCGGCGCCAATCGCGCTTATATACGCCGATCGAAGCGTTCTAGAAAGTACCTGTTAAATTACGAGTTAGCTAGCACCCGCGAGTATGAAATACCTACTTATACCTACGCAGGTAACACGTATAACTTGTAAACAAGTGCAGATGTCGTTGCACTTTCTCCCTTACGCCGCACTGCATAAGGCTCATTTTAGAATAAGCCGCATTACTCGACCTCTATCGCGACCCGCGGTGCTCTGGCACATTCGATCTCTAGCACTTTCTGCGGTTCCGTTTCGAGAGCGTTTGTGACACTATAAACATTTCTTGTGTACGGTACTGTTGTGTCACGTTAAGTGTACGGTACCCTAAAAGGGGACAGAATTGAAATCATCGCACAGCTACTAATAGCAACATAAATATTATTACACGACATTATGAGTAAGACATTTAAAGGAACGCCAAAAATAATCATTGCGTGTATATTTGGCAAAGAAAAATAAAGACTCTTTAATGATAACGGGGGAGACGGGTAAATAAAAGAATACATAGTAATAAGTTAGGTAAACGCCAGAGGAGGGAAATAATACGTGAATACACGCAAAAAAGCGCTTTGAGCCAGACTCGTTTGATGTTCAAGAGTACGAGGGAACGTGGAAAAAATATTCAACGTCGCACTGTAGCCCAACATACCTTCAACTTTGAACGAAACTGAATTTAAATAAAGTACTCAATTCTAAGGTATTGGCGAAATTAACAACAAAGTGAGCTGTTAAGGCACACGATCGGAGCATAACTCAATGGAACAGCGTCATTAAGCGCCGACAATGGCTTTGATAACTAATAACTGGAGGACCAGCACTTAAGTCGTAAGGGGTGAGAGGACGTCCATTGAAGCTCACTGACAGGGAAAGGTTTTCTTTCTGGTGTGATTTTTTTTGTATGCCGAATTGCAGTGGGTACCGCGGGAGGTGGGCGGCGGGGGGTGGGGATGGCCGGGCTCAGGCGTGCGCAGCCGGCAGTATCTGGCCGGCCGGCACAGCGAGCGGGTCGAGTGCGTCGCGTCTCTTGCCACCCGCTCCCACGTTGGGCGCCATCCTATGAAACCGCGAATTTCGCATGCTACGTTCGCTTAAGTGTTCAGTACAATCATTGAACACTGTGAGACGGTGAGTGCCATGTGAAGGATCTGTAGTTGAGTGCCCAGTGTATGTTACACCGATTACGATAACTAATATTAATCGTAAGCAAAAGTAGACAGAAAACTATAACCTAATCGAGAAACCAATAGTGGCGTTAAAGATTTGTGAATAAGTTGATTAACAAGCCGAAGACATTGAGTGAAGTGACACGTTAGCTTGTGCGTTGCCGACAGAGCTCAAAGAAATTGTAAGTACGTACTTTCTTCTTGTTCGCAACTCCCTAACTTTCTGCCACTTCGCAAATGATTGATAAGGAAACCTTACAGTTCAGTGGATCGGAGAAATGTTTATTGAAGAAACTTCTGCTTGTCTGCTTAATAAACTTGCCTTGCGTAACGCTCAAAGATATATTTCACTGGATAATTTTGTGAGAATGGAACGAAGGGTTGGTGTATCTTTCACACAGAATTGTTGCGTAACTAAATGAGGGAAGCCTTTAATTGATTTATTTGAATAATAATATTATTCAAATAAATCAAACGAAGCAACGACCGTGTTACGAAAACATGGACTCCAATTGTTTAGCATCTTGAGTTGGATTTTATTGTCACTTGCGAGACGATGCCTCGGAAAGGTGCGTAGCTTCTGAGAATTTTCGTTAACAAAGTTGAGGGAAAATTAGGCGGTGGTGAGTGCTCCGCTGTCCCTGGAGAGACGAGGCATTATTTGGTTGCCGACCTACAAACTTTTTATTCCCCACCGAATTAATTAACCAAGGATTACTGAGCGGACAAAGAAATTCCTATTTTCCCCAGGAGCATTATGAGCTTCGCTTTTTGTTAAAAATAACGAGATATAAGACATTGTTCGCGGACTCGGAAGAATAATTATTAACGATTGATGAAGCATATAATTAATTACCAATGAAGAACACCCAAATTGTTGTCTTTATAAGGAAGAAAAAAAAATACAGGATGCGGTAAGCGAATAAATTTGTTAAGTTTGATATGCAAACTTACAATTATAGAGTAATACAGATTGCTCATTCGAAGATTTAGTTCTTAATTCTAAGTAACGTCTATACAATATATGATAAATTTTAAATTGTTCGTTTTAATAAACATACACACACATATTTGCGTAATAAAGATAAGAATATCTAGTTGCGAGAAAAAGCAAAAAAGAAGTATCCTCATGTGATTAATGATTATTACATATTAATTTATTACTGACATTATCACTATGCACATATATTTTTAGTTACTATTTTGTAGTTTTGACATCGATGTCTAACACTGTGCGGGCAATTAAAACTTCTGCGCTAGTGTTCGGCCTGCGATAACTTTTGCAATGGTCGGTCATAGGTCAAGGGTGACTAAGAACTTAATATGTCGAGCGATAAGCTACGTTACATTAAGACAACGGCTTGGTGGCATCTACAGTCGTTAGCACCTACCAATCCGCACTGGGCCCACGTGGAGGATCATGGTCCAATCTTACTTTTCCGTTGACACTCTCGAAGCATCCTGTATACAGTCTGCCTGCTCAGTTCTGTGCCTGGGTGTCTCACTTGCTGTATGTGCGCAGAATTTACGTATTTACGAATGGATGTAGTTCATATCAGTATATGCTGGTATAATGCATATCAATACTTGAATTCCTCTTGGGATTCATTGGTATGCAGACGATAGTACAGTGTATGTGGGATATTTCAAACATGCAGCCGCTGAACAGGTATGAACCACGGAGAAAGGTGACAATATTATCATTGAACTGAATCGGGCTTTGGACCACATGCCCGAATGGGATACCAGGACCTTGGTTGAGTTCATTGCTAAGAGTATCCAGGTTTGGATTTTCAGGGTTAAATGTCACCATTCTTCCGTTCCATCTCTTCAAGGCACTGGCGCTACATAGCAACCTCACCATGCTCGGTATTGAAGTTCGCTCAGACCTGAATCCAAAGGACTACATCGAAACCGTGATCAATACAGCTTTACGAAAACTCAGGACTCTTGAACGAGGTGCGCTGTTTTTTCATGCCCGATCTGTGCTTGTTGAATAAGACCCAAGATCGGTTCAGTGTGGAAATATTTTCGCCCCTTTTGGATTGCTCCGCCAAGTAGTTACTTACTAGATGCCTTGGATAGGTTACAGCGGCGCGCTGCTCTCATCGTAGGCGATGTAACGGTAACTAACAACCTTGAGTCTCTTCAATTGCACCGCGATGTGGCATCATTAAGTGCATTCCACCGACTATACCACGAGGAGTGTTTTGAACAGTTATTCTCCCTTATCGCACCTCCCGTATTCCTTCAGAGGACCTAGCGCGCTGGCCTACGTTGTCACCGACTTGCTGTGGCCAACAAATTTGGTGACTAATTTCTTAATCGTACTATTCCCAATTGCAATTCTTTGCTCGTGAACGTGTACTCTTATTTCTACAATCTGGGGTCCTTTAAAAGAGGCATGAAATAGCATTTGTGCAGGCCGGCAAGGTGAGGCAGTCCATAACTGTTGCATCGTTTGTATTTTATCAATACTTAACATCAGGTGAGGTAGAGTTATTTGCCTACCTAAGTATATAAAAAACCACCGAGCTCCTCTATTCATACTACAAAAAATGCGCAATTATTTTTTTCGGTTTGCTACGTTTTCACACTTCAACTAGGTGTGGAAAAAATTTAGAAGTGAGGATAAATACTTCCTTTAAAAAGCTCAAAGCAAAAATAAAACTTAAAATGTTGAAATAAAGGAATAAAGTTTTAATGATTGAAAACCAGTTATTTCTTGCCGACCAAGTCTCACCAATAAATCTATAGCTAATAAAATAGACTGCTAATATCCAAAACAACGACCAGCTATATTCCGCTTAATGGACAGAGGAAATAAAGGCGAACAATAAGCTGTCAATAGTGATGTGGCTCGCACGGCTCGCGTTTCCCGTAATCCTGATCATCCTAAGATCATCAATGCGATTCTGTAAAATTAAATCTCACTCCCAAATTCTACCATTTCTGATATTTGCTTGATATTCATTACGCAATTGCACGGCAAAATTCTGCAATGACTGTTGACGCAGCTAATTGATATATTTGACATATATCAAAAATTGTAATACCTAAATGGTGAGATTTATCTCACAAAGTCGACACAAAGACCTAGGTGACAAAACGTAACAGTTCAAAAATACGAGTATATTAAATTCATCCATATTTAAATTGTAAAGCTGTACCAAACTGCAAAGAAGCGAAGAATGTAAGTCATGAAATCACATTATGTACGTAAAGTAAAAGTCAGTGTGCCAATGGCAATACATCAATCTATTTCTATTCCACCGACGTGTTTGGATAGCCGCTCGGGAATGGAATCGGGCCGGCATTCCACCATGTCCGCGGCTCAGACAGATGAATATAATATTGAACGGGATGAGGGATGAAGTCCTCCTTCCTTTGATGTGGCTCACAAGAAATTGTTCCGCGAACATTGTGATCCATAACTTTTCGCGAGAAAGTAATTTTATGGGGGTAGCGACGCTTCGATGCTTTTGTATGTAGTCGTATAGAACCCTATGTTATATTGCTGTGTCGTGCACAACTTTTTCCAGTTACAGATTTGGTAACAAATCAAATTTCGGTACTGTACTCATGTGTAGAAATGGTAAGTATTGATATTGAAATCGAAAAAATCGGTAAACAAAATATGTTTATTTTCAAATTCAACGGTGAGGATAAAACTAAAAGTGTAGAGCCCCTTAAGGAAGGTTATTTATTATGTCTAACAGTCAATGTATGAATGTGGAACAAAATTCAGTAAAATTGTTCTTAACAAAGATTTGAAGCGTTTGAAAATATATAAAACGTAGTTAATAGACACAACACAAGTCACATGAACATAATCGAGTTTGTCGACTCTATAGTTTTTAGATTGGTGGGATAGCTAGTTTAGTAATTCAAAAGACGAAATCCTGAAGAATCGAGTAATCTAAAAAGTATCACTCACTTAAGTATCAAAAAGTTTCCAGTGCTCTATACTAATAATACTATTCCCGAATACCTATATCCGGTCTGAACAAATGCGTTGTAATAAATTACTAAATTGAAATGAAAATAAACTTTATTCAAAGTTACTTAACAGAAGCTCTTTTGGGTCGTCCTTTAATGATTTCCTACCACTTTGTGTGTGTTAATATTGTCGTTCTTTGATAATATTATTGGTTGCGTAAACGATGTTGTAACATTTTAGAAATATTTCGAGAGATATTAGAAATTGAATCAGTTGATATTAATTGTGAAATTTTTAAAGAATCTGATCTATACTTTGAAGACATAAAGAGTAACATAAAACGTGTCAGCAATGAGAAAGAGATGTCATTATAAACAGTGATGCAAAATTGGATCTTTCGTATTCACACTCACGAAGCCGAGGTGGCCATTTAAACAATCTGGTATCCCACACCAGGTCAAAAGTAAACTATCAAAAAAATCTAATTGTGCAATGAATATGTTATTATTTATATTGTTTTAAACTTTCATGGTCACTAACATTATAGATATTAACGGGATTGTTACCATGTACCTTGTTTTTTATGAGTCTCCGATATTTCGGCACTATTGCAAGCGCCATGATCACGGAGTAACTGAAGTAATTGCGGGTAGATGTTATTGGCAGACATATCGGTCTACCCTCTGACGTCGTCTTTTACTGCGTTCGATACTACCACTTCTTTACTTCAGTTACTCCGTGATCATGGCGCTTGCAACAGTGCCGAAATATCGGAGACTCATAAAAAACAAGGTACATGGTAACAATCCCGTTAATATCTATAATGTTATTATTTGTTTTCAAATATACCCTTTTATTATGAGGAAACCCTATAATACTAATGAAGACCAGTTAAAGTAAATGTTTAACCGAGCAACTTGTCTCGATACATTTGTGTTGTGATTATCGGTCGCTGCTGAGGCGGAAAGCGCCGCCGATGAAAGGAGAAGAGAAATGAAATTTTCATTTGCTCCACTAGTTTATTGGTTCCTTTAAAAGGAGCTTTCAGTGAGGACGAATGGAGTGTGATTTTAAAATTCACGGCAATACAAGGTATTTGAGATAGGTAGGTATATATGTCCCGAACGGGCGACCGGCCGCGCGTCGATCTTTTAATGACAGCTATTCTGCTCTTGCTAATGGATGCTTTTTTATCTCAATTTTCATCAATTAGTATTAAAGCTTTTCGTATTGGAAACGCTATGCTTGTACCGGAGTTGAAATTCAACCGATTGCAAACGGTTTTGTTGATCAATGTTTTTTTTTTGTTTCTGTGTGGTTTTTAAAACTTCAAATACATTCGCACATATAAACGTTTTTATGATATCACTAGTGGCCCGCCCTCGCTTCGCTTCGGTGTAGAGCTGTAGTGTAAACTATACTTTTTGTTCTCAGGCTTGTGCTATAAAGAATGACTTTATTTATATAATTACACGTGTTATTGTGAGTCAACCATAAAAGATAGACATATGCTGTTGCGGGATATTTTTTAGACAATTTTATCCTTACACGCCTGAATAGCTCGCAGATTGCAGAATTTTTTCAGACTTAAATGACATTTATCGTTATATTTTGGACAATTCACACAATATCTTTATAAATTATAGCCTATGTGTTATTCTGATCTATAAGCTACATTACTGTAAAGTTTCATTAAAATCCGTTTAGTAGTTTTTGCGTGAAAGAGGAACAAACATCCATCCATACATCCATCCAAACAAACTTTCGCCTTTATAATATTAGTAAGGAAGTAAGGATATGACGCTTTAAAAGGGATTTAAACAAAATTCTATTTCATATTAATTTATTTTGATAACGAAATATTTAAAATATATTGTAAAAGATTCACGGTAATTTTCTTAATCAAACGGAGAAGATCAAAGACGCCAATTAAATTTGTAGGAACATGGCCGATATCAGAAGGGCTGTTCAAGTTTGTCAATGGAGTGGATTGGCGGGCGAGGAGATCTCAAGTCAACGAAATATACAGCTCTATGATTTGCTGCTGCACAAAATAGTCAGCAGTCACTATGATAATAACACCGGCACACAAAAAAAAATTGTCTGTACACCGGGTGCCATCTATATACGGGCATGTTTTTCGACCTGCTGAATACGAATTTCAAGTCAGTTTAGGACATCCAGCCTTTAATTTCGAGTAAAATGCAAAAAACCCAAAAAAAAAATTCGATGTTTTGGCAAGAAAAAAAAAATTTGAGATTTAAGGCAAGCATAATTTTCATGTATTTTGATCAGTTAAATACTATTTTCGATCGTATTTTAAACCGTTTTAAGTCTAAAAAATGAAAAAAATCATCAAAAATTGCAATTGCTGAATCTAGCATTGTTCTTTGATATTTGGAGTCGGTGCCATGCGTGTCTCATAGAACGTGCGTGTCCTTTAAAAGAGGCGTGAAGAAGCAATTTGCAGACCGGCAGGGTGAGGATGGCAGGTGTGGCAGGTAGAACTACTGTATCAGCTATCTTCTGGACTTCACCGTCACCTAAGATCAAGTGGGGTGAAGTCATTTGTTGGACCTATATATAAAAAAAAACTACCTAATGTACAAACCTGTAGGTATATTTATTTATTTATTTTATTTTTATTTTATTTATTCGGTATACATAACATGTTACAATCAACAAAGTACTAACTTATAATAATTGAAGAATCGATCAAAATTGCAACACTTAACATGCATACACAAAAAATTTCGTAATATAAAACAAAGGACAATATATCGATATTAACTGTTACATTGCTTTAAATTAAATTCATTCAAATAAAAACAAATTGAATACTATAGATTAGATAAAATTACTTACAATTGATTTAAATATATGTATTACATATATTACATTTATGAAATTATATTACATTACAATAAAAACAGAACATTAGCAAATCAATTAAATAAGATATTATCAAGTACATATTTAATTAAATAACTACGACGACCTCCGTGGCCGAGTGGTTTATACGCCGGGTTTCAAGGTGTGGCCATCTCGAGAGGTCCCGGGTTCGAATCCCGGTGGGGGCAGATGTTTGTGTGATGAATACGAGCATTTGTACTCCAGTCATGGATGTTTAATAAGTTTTCTATATAAATATACTTATATATGTATCAATTTATGTATTCTATCCGTTACCCTAGCATCTCATAACACAAGCCTACAGTGCTTACTTTGGGGCTAGGCTAATTGGTGTGAGTGTTTTAAAAAAAAAAAAAAAAAAAAAAAAAAAAAAACTTATTATATTAAAGCGCTTGGCCTACGATTTCTAGAACACATTTTTTTAAATTGATTCGGATTGAGACTAAACAAATCCACATTCTTATGCACACCAACCAACTCATTATAAGCACGACACATCCTGACTATTGGATTGTAATAGGAAGTATTGTTAGTGAATACCTGAAGCACAAAAAATTTAGGACTACGAGACTTGTATCTAATATTAAAATTCAGAAGCGAGAGAAGCGATGGACTATCCATGTGCGAGTTAGCGATTTTATATAGACAGTTTAAATCAAAATACTTACGATGAGATTCAAGGGACTGCATATTAAACCTTGTCATCCTGTCCTCGTAACGCATATAAGTTAAAGTTCACCCATCACGACAATCGAGTCATAATCATATGGTATTTTTATTGCAAAATGAAATTTATTACATTACAATATGGAAAGCTGGAGGAGCATAAATTAATGTCAAAGGTCTCTTTATCGTTTCAGGAATCTCTTTTTTATTATATGATGTAACTAAAAATTTGCGGTTTTCGCAATTTTTCCTCTATCTGTACTATAAGATGTTACGACGGTAATATATAGATAATATTACCGTGACGTTACTTCGTACCAAACAAGATTCTGAGTTCACGGGAAGTACCCTGTAGGTTTTGATTCCCGTGCGATTTACGAAAATTTGCTTAAATTTGAGGCATAAACGGCTGTATCTTTTGATTGACGACCTCCGTGGCCGAGTGGTTTGTATGTCGGGTTTCATGGTGTTGCCGACTCGAGAGGTCCCGGGTTCGAATCTCAGTGGGGGTAGATGTTTGTGTGATGAATACCAGCATTTGTACTCCAGTCATGGATGTTTAATATGTATTTCTAGAGAAATATACCTATATGTGTACTGTTATATGTATTCTATCCGTTACCCTAGTATCTCATAACACAAGCCTTATAGTGCTTACTTTGGGGTTAGGCTAATTGGTGTGAGTGTTGGAAATATCTATTTATTTTATTGATTGTATTTATTGCTTTGGCTTAGAAGTTTGATTTTTTCACACCTCCAAAGGGCAGTAGACCTGAGTAGGTATTGGATATGAATTTCAGTTTGACACCTCCACGCGTTCCTGAGAAAAACGGCTTAGACAGACGGATGGACGGACGGACGCACAACAAAGTTTCCTATAAGGGTTCCGTTTTTTTCCTTTTG